TACTTTTCCCTGGAACATTCTCTCACAGTCTGTTCTCTAAAACCTAAAAGAGGAATTATGGATTGGATCAACTGGTCCCTAAATGCAATTGACACCCCTTTCTCAACGAGAAGTTTGGGCTTGGGTGAGCCTGAGTGCTGAAGATATCTACCTATTCGGAACCATGGTAACAGGGTTCTGGCTGATCGGAGCTGGCTTGGCCCTGACTTATCGAAGAATTAAGGAAGCGGAACCGGCTGTTCAAACCCCCACAAGGCTGCCCGCTGGGATTGAAACGATGGGAAGAGGCGTGAGTTTCTCAAAATGGGCTCATTGAGTGCAGCACGGATAAGATCTTGGAGAGGCTACGGCTGCTGTGAATACTCAGAATAAGATCTCTGACTGCAGACTGGATACATCTCGGAAGGGCTCGCTCGGAATAACATCTCTGGGCGCAAATTGGATGACATCTCGGGGAGGCACACTGCCGTGAGTTCTCAGAATCGGCTCCTTGAGCACAAGAAATGACAACATCACAGAACGCAAGTATGGCGAAGCTCGCGGCTCTCCAACGGGAGATTGAGAGACCAGTGTTGGACTGTAGAACTGCTTTGAAATTCATATGAGCTGTTCGCACTAAAGTAAACCACCATCACTTCATGCGGATACCCCTTTGGCGCCAGCTGCGGTCTCAAGGCTGGAGCTGAACAATAACACCCTGATAACGACTGTGTTGAGTCTGTTCCTTCCCATTCCATGCAAGGCCACCTGGGTTGGCTGGAAGACTGTTTACTTAGCCTGGCAGGGCGAAGGACACTGTCTCAGCTGAACTCTGGACACGCACACACATACATATACACTGATATGCACACACTCATCCCCCCTCCCTTTCCAAACGCCTTTGACGCTTATTCCCTTCCGATGCTGACGGTGGATCAAGGAGACCAGCGCACGCAGGCCGGATGTACTGTCTAATTCGGCTGTCTCTCACCCTTTACCCCCCCTGTTGCTTGTCATGTGTTTCTTTGGTGTATTAAGAGTTTTTCATGTGCAGAGGTGTTTTTTTCTGTTCTCAAACTGATCTCCCTGTTGGAGCTCAGTCTGGGGGGAGTTATTTTTTTCTCCTTATCTTTCCTCATGTGGTGCATTTTCCATTGTTATACCTCTCTGACCTGTCTTCCCCATGTGATGTTTTGTGTAATGTATGTATGGTCGGAGGGTAAGATGGCGCCGCCATTGCGTGCAATAGGTCGGCAGCCTTATGAAATTTCCCTTGTGGGACTAATAAAGGTATTCTCTTACTATAACGTCTGCTCTAAAAGAACGTACGTGCCTGGGCCCGCCTACTATTCTCGGAAACGTAAAATGATTGGCTAGAAGTGTATCACAGCTCAGGAAAAAAAAAGCACCGAAATAAAGCACCGAAATGTGCGCTGCTTTTCGGTCTGGTTACTACCGTTTATGTCAGAACGCACCGGACACCGGTACCCATCCCTATTCATGACCCTACATAGTCTCTTTTGATCATTTCCCAGATCTGACCAAGGGTGAGGGTTGGAAAGTAGAAGAATTTCTTGTAAAAAAAAAAAAAGTTGCATAACCAAATGGCACAACATGTGTGTGCATCTTTGTCATTAATACAATCCTTTAGAGAGGTTCCAAGTTACATATGGTTTATTCTTGTTGCCTGAGTTATGTTAAATTGTGAGAAAACTGACAGTAGGTTTATCTATTTCATCTAAGGCATATAGGTACGACCTAATTGAAAAAACAGCCTACAACTCATGAGGCTTATTACTGATCAAGCAAAAGCTGGATAAAACTGAATTAAAGAGAAAATACATTAAAACATGCTAATACAGTAGAGCTGCATTCTGTTTTTTAATAGTTACACACTGAACCTCTGTATAAATGCCTTTAATAAGTGTCCACTTCACTCAGTCATTGCATTAGATCTACTCCCAGCTAACAAAACTCACCTTCCTTTTGGCTGCCTGCAGCTGACACATTCTGCTGGGATAGCATGGTCTGGTTGTAGAGGCTAGGGAGGGTGGCGGCGGCGTACTGTTGAATGCCAGAGTAGGCCTGGCTCAGTGCCTCCATTGTATTTCCTGAGCCATTAGAAAGACTTCCAGAGCCAAGACTGCCATTAAGTGCTGCCATGCCTGCATCAGTTACAAGAAGAAAAAAAGCTGTATGTTCACAGTGGTACAAACTTCAGTAGACTAAGAATCAGAAAAGAGGCCAAAAGACTGTCACTGTTCAAGATTCAAGAAAACTTTATTTGTCATATGCAAGTTGCCCTGCAGTGAAATGGGACCAACCCCCTCCCCCCGACCTTACATGCACAACACAGACATCACATGGGGAGACAGGTAGGGGACCGGTAGTATTACAGAAAAACACTGAAATACAAAACAATGGGAAAGTCCAAGAGGGAAAAAAAGAGACCTCTACTCATGCTGAGCTCCTGGGAGGACAGCATGAGAACAGGAAACAAAAAAACTCCTCTGCACAGAAAGCACATAAATGTCCACAGCACAACATTATAGAGCACGTGACCAGTAACAGGGGTGGGTGGGGGGTGAGGAGTAATCCCAAGCAAACACAGCAGCCATCCTGCCCTGCAGCTATTTTTCCAGCGCTGGGCCCAAACCCGCCGTGTTCTCTAGGAGGGAACAAGTGTCGAAGGCGTTTGGAAAGGGAGGGGGGATGAGTGTGTATCAGTGTATGTGTGTGTCCAGAGTTCAGCTGAGACAGTGTCCTTAGTGTCCTTTACTGTCCAAGTAAACAGTCTTCCAGCCAACCCAGGTGGCCTTGCAGAATGGGAAGAAACAGTCTAAGCACAGTCTGTTATCAGGGTGTTATTGTTCAGTTCCAGCCTTGAGACCACAGCTGGCGCCAAAGGGGTATCCGCATGAAGTGATGGTGGTTTATACTTTAGTGCGAACAGCTCATATGAATTTCAAAGCTGTTCTACAGTCCGACACTGGTCTCTCAATCTCCCGTTGGAGAGCCGCGAGCTTCTCCATGATGTTATCAACCTTACGCTCCGTGATGTTGTCATTCTTGTGCTCAAAGAGCCGATTCTGAGAACTCACGACCGCAGTGAGCTTCTCCAAGATGTAATCCAATTTGCGCTCAGAGGTCTTATTCTGAGTGTTCACGGCAGCCGCAAGCTTCTCCAAGGTCTTAACTGTGCTGCACTCAATGAGCCCATTTTGAGAACTCACGCCTCGTCCCGTCGTTTCAATCCCAGCGGGCAGCCTTGGGGGGGTTTGAACAGCCGGTTCCGCTTTCTTAATTCTCAGATAAGCCAGGGCCAAGCCAGCTCCGATCAGCCAGAACCCTGTTATCATGGTTCCGAATAGGTAGATATCTTCAGCATCCTCGATCGACAGTCCCGCCAGGCACACGACCCTCCAGTTCTGCCACCCATCCATCGTGTATCTGGCAGGGAAAGTACCTCCAGGACACTCAGGCTCACCGAGCTCAGACTTCTCGTTGAGAAAAGGGTGTCAATAGCATTCAGAGACCAGTTGATCAAATCCATAATTCCTCTTTCAGGTTTTAGATACAGACTGTGAGAGAGTGTTCCAGGGAAAAGTAAGTTTTTCCCCCTTTTGGCTTTACAATTGTAATTAATGAGTCAGCCTGAAAAGTAAAAAACAAAACAAAACAACAACAAAACAAACCCCCCCAAATAAAATTATTTATGCAACAGATTGCATGGATTAAGTTGCTCAAGTTAGCAGGAACCACCGAAGGAACCACTGAGCCAACGCACTTGGAACTTATTTACAGTTAGTCCTTCAAGTACAATCCAATCCAACAGGCAGTGATTATTATAAAACAGTTACAAGCCAGATTACAGCCAGAATTAACGTATGAAAACAAAAAGCACAGACAAGCAAATCCTGAAAATGAAGATTTATATCAGACGTACTGCCTCAAATTAATCTATATTTCAGCCTATGCAGATAAGAGTTTTTACCTGCCAAGGAACCTATGTTGAGGCCAGCTCCAGCACTAGCAGCCAGAGACTGCAGGGCCCCTAAAGAAGCCATGGGGTTCGCCGAGGAGTTGCTACTGGAGGTGGGGGAGGAGCCTGCTTGAGAAACATTTACTTTTAATGATATAATAATAGGGGAAATGAACAATTTACCTTGCATCATTAAAAGTACTATAAGAATGGAAAACATCAAAATTAAAAGTAATTTCACAAGTCTAATCACAAGGAAGATTTGACAAAGCCAGGATTTATGTTTTAAGGGTTTTATTAGTTTAGTTTTTATTAGTCTTACAAGTAATTTAAATGATTTCATTACTACAGTCTGCTATATATTTACCTATGAATCACATCTAGCCAGCTCTGGTTCATGTTATGGTAGATTTAATATCATCATGTGTGTAAACAATACATGTTTCCAGGCAGCCAGGCATTTTACAATAATTTCCATTGGGTCAAAATTACACCCTTGAAGGAAATAAATTGTTACAATGCGTTTTTCTTTTTATTCCCTACACCCAAAAAGTGTATCATGACCCAATTCTATTTTTGGAAAAGTCATGAAATTAGGTGGAGTTTTACTTCGACAGCTACATTTTAAAATGCAAAGGGGTCCAAATAAGCCCTTTGCCAAGTCTAGCGTTAAACAAAAGCACTTGCTATAATAAGGTTTGGTTTTTTTGGGGGGGTTCAAGTCTTGCTTTTTTGGTTTTGGTTTTTGTTACATGACAAAGTGTTTCATATACAGTATACGTGTTGGCTGCTTTTCAAGCATATGAAAAAAAAAAGGCATTGGCCCAAATCATCACGATTGTAATAAAATATTTTTAATCAGGTTTTGTTTTTGTTTTTTTAACTTAAGTTTGCACACGCCTTTCTTGAATTTTATTGCTCAAAAGCCCAAACATAATCTTATCAAATCTAAGGAGCTTGGAAAGAAAAAAGCATCTTTCCAAGCTCCTTAAACTATGATGACCTGGATGACTGAGAACCTTCACAGATATGATCTTATCAAATTTTACTGGGTTTAGGTGAAGGTCGTTGGCTCCAGTTCTCTAACACTATGCAATACTATACTATACAATGCACCAATACTATACTTCTTGAGGATGAAGTTGTATTTGGACTAATGGACTATTGTTTCTCCTTACCTAATTGAGCAGTTCTTGCATTAGGCCAGTAGTGGAACAGAAATGAATTTGCTGTAAAGCAAATGGGTTTAATATACAGTTTAAATCCTGGTGTTCAGTATTTTACATTATATTAGAGATTACCTGACATTTAATTTCAGGTCCAAGAGCATATAAAGTTTTAAATTCTGTGAAAGTATGTATTTATAGCCATTCTGTGATGGATCCACAGTATTGTTTTATCCGGTTAGCCAATATTCTTTCACCTGTGTCCACTAAGTTTTACAGGGCACAACCTACATACTCAACCTCTGCTGCTCAACCCAAAAATACATTTTTCTTACAAAGGTGGCACCATAAATAGGCTTTCCAGTGATATACGATTCATTTGCAACATTCATTGTCACAACAAAGAAATCAACCAAACTTAAATTTCCTTAGTTTTGTAATACAGACTCTGTGTTTTGGTTTTTACCTGAGCTTGTTAACGCACTTAGTGGGCTAGTAGATGTCGTCATGGCGCTAGAACCCGTAGGTGTGGCCTGTGTAGCAGTTGCTGCTGCTGCTAAAGCAGCGAGGTTCTGCATAGCATTAAGACCTGACAGACACATGAATAGGCAAGTTTAAGTTCCCCAACAGAGATCATCAGTTATACAGATATAAGGCTGGACTTAACTTTCTCAATAAACAAAGGGATGAATCTAAACTCAAAATAATTAATGAGATTATTATGTAGCCAGTAATATAGCTTTACATTTTTTGGATGTGTGTATATGTACCTGAAACAGGGTGCAGGTTGTTGAGTGCATTCCCTGTGGAGGCAGACTGCTGCAGCAACTGTAAGTAGAGCTAAAGCAAGAAGAAAAATGGAAGATAACATTTAAATTTGTCAATTTGTTTTCTAATGGTTGTTACATTTTGGATAAATATACACTTACTGCTAAGTACTGTGGGCCTAAACTGTTGAGTCCAGTGAGATTACCCCACATGGAAGCAGCACTAAGTTGCTGCATCTGCTGCTGCAGCTGTTGAGCCATGCGCTTCTGCTCCTTGTCCTTCTGAGTGTCTGCAAATTTCACTACAATTGGCGATGAACAACCCTGAACACAAACACAGGAAAACATTGTGCTCATGACAGGTTACTGGTCAAAACTATTAAACTGCATCTTTCAAATTCCAAGTAACGTAACCAAATAGTTAAAAAAAAAATCTAGAATAGAATAGAATAATCCTTTAATTGTCCCACAAGGGGAAATTTGGTGGTAACAGCAGCCAGAAAGACACATATACAAACAAACAGGACAGAAACATACACAATTTTTTCTTACATATTTACATCAAGGACAATGGTTAATCGCTTGCTGTGAATAATCATATACTGGGAAACCTTGAAACTATTTATCCAGTGGAAACAACAGAATGCAGATCTTCTAAAATCAAAATCACAGACAAAATGCAAATTAGTTTTTTTTTTAGTTTAAACTTCACCTCCATGGTCTGGGACTGGTGCATGGATTTGATAGCAGACTGGGCCATTTGTCTGGCTGTGAATGTCACAAACGCACAACCTGCAAGAAAGAAACTAAATGTATCAGTTTTGTTAACCTTTCAGTAAGACCACACTTATTTTTAACAAAATTTTTGATACACTTTTCCAGTTTATTGGTGTAAGAGAACTTGGTTTTGATTAAGATTCATTATTCATATTTAACCTCCTAAGACCCGAACTCTTCCACAGCAGCATTTTTAATTTCTCTTTGATATTTGGGCTGATTGGGGCCCGATGAATGTAAAAACAAAGAATTACCAGATTTTTTTTTTTACTTACTTTTGTTTTTAATAAAAATGAGAGCCACGTATGAGGATATTCATTTAAAATTTTGAGAGAACAGTAGCAGTATAATGTCCTCATAAGTGGATATCAGGCCCTTGTAGAGCAAAATTTAGTATTTTGGTCTAGATAACCCAAAATGTGATGTCCACATATGTGGACGCCAGGTCCTAATTTATCTTTATATTTCAATTCAATCAGTAGGTCTGCACTGTGTATAGTGCTGGCGGAGCGCTGCTGACGTCGACTGAGAAAATTGTCAGGCGGTGGAAGGAATACTTCGAGGACCTCCTTAATCCCACTGACACGTCTTCCGAGGAGGAAGCAGAGTCTGGGGATGAGGGGAATGACCCGCCAATTTCCGGGGGCGAGGTCACTGAGGCAGTTAAACAACTCCTTGGTGGCAGAGCCCCTGGTGTTGATGAGGTCCGCCCCGAGTTCCTGAAGGCTCTGGACGTTGTAGGGCTGTCCTGGTTGACACGCCTCTGCAATGTTGCGTGGAGATCAGGGGCAGTACCTGTGGACTGGCAGACCGGGGTGGTGGTCCCCATCTTTAAGAAAGGGGACCGGAGGGTGTGTTCCAACTACAGGGGGATCACACTCCTCAGCCTCCCTGGGAAAGTCTATGCCAGGGTGCTGGAAAGGAGAGTTCGTCCGTTAGTCGAACCTCGGATACAGGAGGAACAATGCGGTTTTCGTCCTGGTCGCGGAACACTGGACCAGCTCTTTATCCTCTCCAGGATACTTGAGGGTGCATGGGAGTTTGCCCAACCAGTCTACATGTGTTTTGTGGACTTGGAGAAGGCATTCGACCGTGTCCCTCGGGGTGTCCTGTGGGAGGTGTTGCGGGAATATGGGGTGTCTGGCCCATTGCTACGGGCCATTCGATCCCTATACAACCGTTGCAAGAGCTTGGTTCGCATTGCCGGCAATAAGTCGGACTCGTTCCCGGTGGGTGATGGGCTTCGCCAGGGCTGCCCTTTGTCTCCGGTTCTGTTCATAATTTTTATGGACAGGATTTCTAGGCGCAGCCAAGTGGCGGAGGGCTTTCGCTTTGGTGGCCTCAGAATCTCATCTCTGATTTTTGCAGATGATGTGGTTCTGTTGGCTTCATCGGGTGAGGGCCTCCAGCTCGCACTGGAACGGTTCGCAGCCGAGTGTGAAGCAGCGGGAATGAGGATCAGCACCTCCAAATCTGAGGCCATGGTTCTCAGCCGGAAAAGGGTGGAGTGCCCACTCCGGGTCGGGGATGAGTTCCTGCCCCAAGTGGAGGAGTTCAAGTATCTCGGGGTCTTGTTCGCGAGTGATGGGAGAAGGGAGCCGGAGATCGACAGACGGATTGGGGCTGCAGCTGCAGTAATGCGGACGCTGCACCGGTCCGTCGTGGTGAAGAGGGAGCTGAGTGTAAAAGCGAAGCTCTCAATTTACCGGTCGATCTACGTCCCTACCCTCACCTATGGCCACGAGCTGTGGGTAGTGACCGAAAGAACGAGATCGCGGATACAAGCGGCAGAAATGAGCTTCCTCCGAAGGGTGGCTGGCCTCTCCCTTAGAGATAGGGTGAGAAGTTCGGCCATCCGGGAGGGGCTCAGAGTAGAGCAGCTGCTGCTCCACATCGAAAGGAGCCAGCTGAGGTGGTTCGGGCATCTGACAAGGATGCCCCCTGGGCGCCTCCTGGGTGAGGTGTTCCAGGCATGTCCCACCGGGAGGAGGCCCCGGGGCAGACCCAGGACACGCTGGAGAGATTATATCTCTCGGCTGGCCTGGGAACGCCTTGGTATTCCCCCGGACAAGCTGGAGGAGGTGGCTGGGGAGAGGGAGGTCTGGGCCTCTTTGCTTAGGCTGCTGTCCCCGCGACCCGGCCCCGGACAAAGCGGATGAAGATGGATGGATGGATGGATGGACAGTAGGTCATCAGTTCCTGGCATTGGATAAAATAGTGATGATATCATCTTGTGGACACATCTGCTTTTCCAGACGATTGTACCGCTAATTGTATTTTTGTACAATTAGTATTATTGTACCCTACCCTAACCCTAACATTAAGGCTACAGTTAGATTTTCCTGTTTCAGTGCAGCTAACCAAATAATGAAAGAACTGCACTGAAACAGACAGTGAAAGCGGACAGTGTATCTTTTATTTGTTTGTTTTTTTAAGTACAAAAGTGATACCTTAGGCTGCTTTTTAGTTGTAGTGTCCTTGTGTTCCACTGAGTTCTGTCACTAGTTACCTTAGCTAGGTAATGTAAGTCTATTAGCAGGGACCAACTAACCAAGTCATATCACTTTTTGACTCTAAACATGGTTTAAGAACAGATCTCTATGATGCAAATTATCCTATCTATAGTATTTTCACCTTCTAACATTTTTGTGGTATTCGAAACAACATTTTTCTTCACTTCTATCATGGTTCTTTAAAGCTGTTAAAGAGCAGGGCATTTTACTGAATTGATAATCAATGTTGTCTCTTTAGAATCAAACCTGCAGAGCGAAGAAAAAGTATGAGCTTTCAGCTGTTGAGGGCATCTTCTGGTGGATAAGATCGGTCTTTAATCTTAGTCACTTTTTACGTCATCCCAGTTTAATTGTCTATAAACCTTTGGACATATAGAACTGCTTGGTTTGCCATTACACAGAGCTTCCACATTTTGGTTTCAGCCCATACTAGGCATTTACAATACTGTGCCATCCCTATTCTTTTTATTTGCATATGTTTCAGTACATTTATTAAAACATTTTAACATGTTAAAGTTAGTAAGACTATGACCACCTTTATTCCTCAAGTGAGTCTAAATTGTCTTAGACCTGGATGACTTTACCTCTCCTGACCTCTTACATACCATATTGACAATTGAACTGAAATTTTTGGATTTGGATTGAGTCTGATGGAGTTACACTCCATGTGACCCAGTTCTTGTGTAATCTGGCACACAAGAGCCCTTTTCCATATTTGATGAAGCTTCCTTTTGATTGATCTCCAGTAGAGCTGCCACGATTTGTCGACTAGTCACGATTACATCGACTATCAAAATCGTCGACCACTAATTAAAAGTCGACGTGTCGTTTGAAGCTTTGTAAGATCCCAAAAGACGCAGGAATAAGTAGTAGGATTTAAGAGTGTAATAACGGACTGAAACAGAAGATGGCAGCACTGCATGTACAAGGATGCCAGCTGCCGTTAAACCCCGAAGAAGAAGAAGCTCGTGTCCCAGAATTCATAGCGCAGCCCAGCTCAGTTTCCAACAATGGCGGCAGCTAGTTAGTTTTAATATTACTCTTATTATTCTTTCTGGGTCACAAAATAAACGTTTAACATATTTTCAGGCGAGAATGTAGCTGTGTAAACCTCAAATATCTGCTCAGTTTATCAAGACACCGCATATTTTCAAAAGCGCTCCGACGTTTTCGGAGACGTCTGTTACCCACTAGCTCGATAGCTAGCCGGGGGCTAGGCTCACTAGAGCCGTGAGAACACCGGACTCCCGGCAAATCGTTTTCAAACCCACCGCCGTCTTTCGCTACTCAGGTTAAACATGATATATAAGTCACTTAGATAACTTAAAAATGTTATTGTTTGGCTTTTTTAGTATTTTATTTGTTCCTGAGTAAATCGGTTTGGCTGAGATTAAATTAGAGTGTGAGATGCTCGAGAATTTACTCCGGTGTCCTGTTATATTTTAGATAGCAAGGAGTTTATTAAACTTCACCGAAACAATCTGCAGATTTCGACAATTGATTAGTGATAATCCAAAAATAATCATCTGTCGACTATCAAAATAATTGTTTGTGGCAGCCTTAATCTCCAGTCAAAGGGCCATCAGGTCCTGTGTCAAACTTCACAGCTTGTTTGAGGCTGGAGCCCAGGCCAACTGTTATAAGGTGACAGCAATAAGTCAGTAAAAAAAAAAAAGTTGGGCCTAGCTTTGGGGTCACATAAATTAAGCCAATTTGGAAGTGCCAAATTATATCTGAGGGTCACCAGATTGTGACTACAAAAAGACTTCCGGTCCTACAGAAGTCTATGGCAAGGCAAGGCAAGGCAAGTTTATTTGTATAGCACAATTCAACAACAAGGTGATTCAAAGTGCTTTACAGAGACATTAGAAACAAGAACAAATAAAAAGCATGATTTAAAATTGATTAAAACAAGCAAACTAACTAACTAACTAATTAACAAACAAACAAACAAACAAAACAGTATATAAAATCAAAACAGATAAAATCAGAACAGTAGATAAAATCAGTAGTTAAATGTAAGTTTTGAAATTTAAGCTTAAAAGTGTGGATTTGGTGCTTTATTCAAATGCAGCTGAGAACAGGTGAGTCTTCAACCTGGATTTAAATAAACTGAGTGTTTCAGCTGATCTGAGGCTTTCTGGGAGTTTGTTCCAGATATAAGGAGCATAAAAGCTGAATGCAGCTTCTCCGTGTCTGGTTCTGACTATGGGAAAAAGGTTTTCTATCTTGACCTTGGTAAACACTTTGGTCATGAATAAATGGGCTTAGTCATTTGTTCTGGGTGATACTGAATAAAACAGAGTCTATTGTGTAAATTTTGCTTAGACCATGTTTCAAAATGGCAGAACCGAACGGTTTGGCCTAATGCATTGTCAGTCATTAGCCAATGAGCACATGGTTTCATAGTCAGAGTTGCCCTTCCTTGTTTTTTTTGCAGCGGTGGAAACGCTCATCTCAAGGCTACAAATCGGGACTTGAGAAACCAATTAGCTTTACTTG